AACCTACTAGAAAGTGGCCAGAAGAAACTCTGGGCCTTGGGATTGTTGGGGAGGAAGAAACCTTAGAAGGAACAAGCTCTACGTAGCAAATAATGTAAATTACAGTATAGGCTGAGATGTTCCTCTACCCTGTAAATCTTTATTGCCTATACTGTTTGGCATTTCACATCTATTTGCCAAGCCTCATTGAGGTGTGTTGTAGATACATGATTGATAGTCGTGCATTCAATAGTTAGCCCCTAGGCTAATCGTCCACTTTTCTGTTATTGCTTATTCCTAAGGCCAGACAGTCTTTCCTCCGGCCGTTAAATAACTACGGCCAAATAGTCATACTTATTCCAAGCAACCCGGTAGGTTGAAGTTTATCCACTATGGCACTGAGATATTTCACTTCTCTGTAAAAAGAGATTTGACAATCTATCATGGACCAGGAGTGACAGCAATTACAATTTCAGTACTTTGCAGGCTTACTTATCACCTTCCCAAAACAAAGGGGTTCAATGTCACCCATTGTCTGAATTGCTTGCAAAAATCTACTCTCATTGTATCTTGAATTTGTCTTCGGCAGGTCGAGTAGTGGTTAGAGGTGAGTTTGAATCCCAGGTCTGACAGGAAAAGTCTGGCGGAAATGAGCTGGCAACCAGAGGGTTGCTGATATCAAATCCTAGATGCCCTTGCCTGTCGTTGTGCCCTTGAGCAAGGCACTTAACTCCCCGGGTGTCCAGTGTGGCAGCCCCCCACACATCTCCAAAACCTGTATGTGTATGTCTTTCGGAGGGGTTGGGTTAACAGTGGAAGTAACATTTCAGTTGGACCTTGTGTTGGACCAATTGATCTTAAAACGGAAGTGGTTCGGTGAACCGCACTCGTGTGATGAGTAACTTTGCCTGAGACCTAAAGAGTTGTTGGCTCCATGAGCTAAACGTCTTGTGACATGCAGGAGACCCAGGTTCAAAAACCCAGTTGTCTCATTGGTACCGCGACTCTGCGAGAAGGTCATATGGGGGTGTAGTGTGACTGAGGTGGTTCAGTGAACCACATTCCTGTGTTGAGTAATCTTGTCTGAGACCTGAAGACTTGTTGGCTCTCCGCAGGCTAAGAATTGTGGCTCACAGTCAGACGACGGCCTACCCTCTCAGACCAGGATTCTGTTTAACCCAATGGTGTATAAATCATTGGTTCAACCCTGTCCCTCAATCATGTTTTGATGCCCTCTGACATAACTGATGCTATTTATGTGGCACCTTTGCTTTCCTGACCTCCACCACAGCCTGGTCTCAGAGCAAAACATATTATGTTACTAAAATCCGTGCCACTCCATTTAGTATGTTAGGTTATATTGTTTGACCTGTTTAGTATTATATATTATGTTCGATAAGACTGGTTACTTACAGTGCCTTGCAAAAGTATTCATCCCCCTTGCCGTTTTTCCTATTTTGTTGCATTACAACCTGTATTTTAAATGGATTTTTATTTGGATTTCATGTAATGGACATACACAAAATAGTCCAAATTGGCGAAGTGAAATGAAGAAAAAAAAAATAACAGAAAAGTGCTGCGTGCCCATGTATTCACCCCCTTTGCTATGAAGCCCCTAAATAAGATCTGGTGCAACCAATTACCTTCAGAAGTCTCATAATTAGTTAGATTGCACACAGGTGGACTTTATTTAAGTGTCACACAGAGCATATGAGCGGAGTGGAGCGGTGAGAATCTCAGCTCCTCACTCACGGAGCTGTTCACCCCTCCGCTCCCCCTGCTCAAAGCCACATCAGGCCAGCCCGCTCATTATCGTTCAGCGCTCAACGCAGTTTGCATCGCGCTCCACTCAAATCGCCCCCCCGCTCACTCCAAAAAAGGAACAAAATCTGCATGTATTTCACTTTTAGCTTAAACCACAGCCTTTATCTCCCCGAATTTGTTCCATACAGACTCATCTCGGATTATCCATTCTGTCTTGAAACGGGGATCTAACACTGACGCTAAAATGAGATGTTAATCAGTATAGTATATTCCATAGCGAATTGACACGTTGTTTGCCAATGTTTCTGCAAAAGCAGCGATGCCCATTGGAAGTGCAGCGTGAGTGTAATCGGTGAGCAGGGATTTGATTTCTGTGACAGCAGGGAGGATCATCCCCAGGTTCCCCAGCTCCTTCTGCATTTTGTCTGAGAGGTCTGCTAGTGGTGTCAGCACACTGACAAGGTGCGTCAGCTGCCGTACTTGATTCAGGGTGATGTTAGCAACATTAGACTTGAGTTTGTTTTGCCATAACGGGTCTTTTTGGAACAACCGGATGAACGACTGAATCATCCGCAGCTGGCTGCTCCATCGAATGGCGCAGGCATTTGTGGGGCGGACACCTAATTGGTCGGTTTCCTCTGTGCTCTTGCATACACTTTTCACCAGGTGCCCGACTTGCACTAACAGCCTATTAATGTTGTCGTGCTCGTTAACAGCGTTTTTGATCGCCAGCTGAAGCATGTGAATGGGGCATCTCAGATGTAAATTTGATAAAGTAAAGTACTGATTTATCATAGTTTCTTGGGGGGGTGTAGCCCGGTTGAGCTGCGCTGGCGAAGTGTTGCATCCCTTCGCGTTCTCCTTTACTCAGCGGTTCATAGTCCATGAAAATCATTTCAAAAAATGCTACATCCAGCTCTCTTTTTCTCTCCCTTGTTATGGTTGGGCCTTTGCGTGCAGTGAATACACTTTTGAATTCCTCAACCCTTTTATCTTGTTGCTGCTGCTGCTCCTCTTGCTCTATAAAATACAAATTCATGGACGACACAAATTAAATTAAACAGATGGATTCTGGGTCAGGCTTGAGCATGCTTCAGACTCGTGGTGTGAGCGAGCGAAATTGGAGCGGGACATAGGGCGACGCTCCGTCCTTTTAAAAATGCCGCTCTGCGCTCTGTTCAAAATCCGTCCGCTCACGCTCGCTCCCGCTCCACTCCGCTCATATGCTCTGGTGTCACATTATCTCAGTATATACACCTGTTCTGAAAGGGCATTAATTGGAGAGGCAACAAAGAGACCAAAGATAATCCTGAAGGTGCTGCAAAGCTCCACAGCGGAGATTGGAGTATCTGTCCATAGGACCACTTTAAGCCGTACACTCTTCAGAGCTGGTCTTTACGAAGAGTGGCCATTGCTTAAAGAAAGAAATAAGCAAACACGCTTGGTGTTCGCCAAAAGGCATGTAGGAGACTCCCCAAACATATGGAAGAAGGTTCTCTGGTCAGATGAGACTAAAATTGAGCTTTTTGGCCATCAAGGAAAACGCTATGTCTGGCGCAAACCCAACACCTCTCATCACCCCGAGAACACCATCCCCACAGTGAAGCATGGTGGTGGCAGCATCATGCTGTGGGGATGTTTTTCATCGGCAGGGACTGGGAAACTGGTCAGAATTGAAGGAATGATGGATGGCGCTAAATACAGGGAAATTATTGAGGGAAACCCGTTTCAGTCTTCCAGAGATTTGAGACTGGGACGTAGGTTCACCTTCCAGCAGGACAATGACCCTAAGCATACTGCTAAAGCAACACTCGAGTGGTTTAAGGGGAAACATTTAAATGTCTTGGAATGGGCTAGTCAAAGCCCAGACCTCAATCCAATTGAGAAACTGTGGTATGACTTAAAGATTGCTGTACACCAGCGGAACCCACCCAACTTGAAGGAGCTGGAGCAGCTTTGCCTTGAAGAATGGGCAAAAATCCCAGTGGCTAGATTCCAGGTTGTAATTACCTCGACTAACCGGTACCCCCGCACATTGACTCGGTACCAGTACCCTCTGTATATAGCCTCGCTATTTGTATTTTTGACTTCATATTATTTTAGGTAGGATTTTTGTGGGTTATTATTATTACTTTTTTGGTATTCTTTCTTAAAACTGCATTGTTGGTTAAGGGCTTGTAAGCATTTCACTGTAAGGTCTACACCTGTTGTATTCGGCGCATGTGACAAATAAAATTTGATTTTAACAAAATAGGAAAAATGCCAAGCGGTGTGAATACTTTCGCAAGCCACTGTAAGGCAAAAATGAAAGTAGGGTGGGTGGGTGTATAACGCTAACGTCTAACAACCCAAAGGTTGCTTGTTCGAGTCTTATTATGGACAACTTCAGCATTTTAGCTAATTTGCAACTTTGCAAGTACTTGCAACTTTTTAGCTACTTTGTAACTACTTAGTATGTTTGCTAACCCTTCCCCAACCCTAAACTTAACCTAACCCAGCTAACGTTAGCAACCTAGCTAACGTTAGCATTAGCCACCTAGCTAACGCTAGCAACAACAAATTGGAATTCATATATGTATTGCAAATTCGTAACATATTGTATGAATTTGAATTCGTAACATACTATGTTCTACAATTCATATTATATTGTACGACCGCAATAGAGAGCAATAGTATAGGCATATTTTTGTAGGCACTAACTCCGCCATTGTTCATTGGACAAAGCCTATGGGAAAATAGTTTTGTAGGGTTTTTGGATAAACACCGAAAATAAGGCAACCACAGCCTTAGGAGATCTTGTGTTTTGTTCTATGAATTTTATCAGCTAATGTCACTTTTGGTGAATTTGAAGCATTTTTGTAATAAATAAAAAGCACAAGGCTTCATAATTCATAAACGTTAACTGACTGATATTATCTCATAGAACAAAACATATAAGATCTCCTAAGTCTGTGGTATTTCGCTGTTTATCCCCAACCCTATTCTTTCCCCATGAATGAACCAGAGGTAACATATTTCACGGTTTTATGACTACAAGCTGGCGAGCTCTTTTTAAATTAGTAGGCAAATGAAATGTAACCGAACATATCATACTAAATGGAGTGGCACGGATCTTAGTAACATATAAAACACGTTTTGCTCTGAGACCATGTTGTCCACCAAGGCCAATGCTGTAAAATAGGTACTGATGTTATTTCTGGTTGATCTATAATGATTGCTATTTTATTTTCTTCGGATTATAAGTGTGCAGTGGACACATGTTGCAGGAGCGGCCTGTGTGCCGGTCACCATGTGCTCTTTCGTCGTACTATCCGCAGAGGGTAGGTTTCGGTAGCGGAAGTGTTGAAAGAGCGTTTTGATTTAAGGGATGCTTTGACCAATTGCGAGACTACTATCTTTGACGTAGGTTCGGTGGAGACGAACGTGTGAATGAGAGGCGATGCACAAAGTCAAAGATGGTGGATAAATGAAGAGTTCCCTCAGGCCGTTGACCATTGGGGTGGGAGGAAAATGGGCAGTTCATGTCGGGTTAAGGGACTAGACACCAATGCGATAGCAGCTGGGTCTGGTCTGCTTAGTTTATAAACAATATTTTTAAAAAACTGCGAGTGGGGTGTCTCGCTTCCTTTTCCGTCTCTGACAAAGTATGTAGGTACATGTGACTTGTGGAGAGGCGGAGTCTAACGGAGTACGATAACCAATGAAAAATCCATTGAGGCCTCATGAAAGCTCCTTCACGGTAGCATGCTCTCACAGTTTGCCTTTTTTGTTTCTGTCCTCTTGTGAATTGTACGGTGTTATCGACTTCCACCCATTGTACATTTTTCTGCTTAAGTGAGGAAAATCTTGGATTAGCTGGCTACATCAATTTAATCGGGTAGCTTGCGAGTCAGTACAACATTGGGAGGAAAACAATGCTGTTATTTGTTGAGGTATGTTTGGTCTGTATAGTGATCCATTATAGTCCAAAGTTCGTCTGGAACGACATTTTATGGCGCTGTAGGAAGCAACCGTTGGCAACAGCGTTGCATTCCCGTCAATACACACTAATAATAACGTTAATCAATAGTTGCAATCGGGGAATAACGTTATGCTTTAGATCATTGGTGAGCATGCAAAGTATCAAACTCGTTAAGAAATGGAGTTGTAGCTAGTAGGCTACATGTCGCATTTGTTTTCACAACCTTAGTGGAATTAAAGGGCAGTTCTGGCTTGCATGACATATCACGCCCCCTTAAACTTCAGTCACTGGGATCAAGAGTCTTCATTAGTTGGACAATTGCTCAATTTCTTTAATTTATAGATGTTTTTTTTTTTCAATTAATTCCCTGTTCTAATAGTAAAATGATGACCCTATAAACCCTAACAAAACCCTGGAATGCATTTGTTTATGTGAAACATTGAACATTTGAAAATGAAGCATTCATAATATATAACTCCAAATAGACTTGAGTAGCCTACGGTTGGTTATGATTGTTAATGGTATGAGAATGTGTTTGACAGACAGCATTGGATGTTTAGGAAATTATGCAACATTGGAATCAATGTATGTGCTCTAAATAGATGTTTTGACTTTGCAAGAAACCTACAGCAGCCTTAAGGTATTTTTGTATATCTTCACACAGGTAACCACAAAGGGAGTAGGTCTGAACCCCAATGCCAAAGTCTGGCAGGAGATCTCTACGCCCCAGAGCCAAGTCCCAGAGGAGGGCACAGAGGGTCCCTACTTGCTCCAGACGACCCCCGCCTCTGCTGATGTCACCGAGGGTGAGGGCCAATTGAAATGCACCCTGGAGTTTTTATATCACCACTACATGCATACACAGGCCTGCATAGATTTGTCACAGACGAGCAATAGCTTCAACAGATTTTTTTCTCTCTCAAATATATAGTTCAGAGGGCACAATGGACCTTTTGGAAGGACTATTAATCAAGGCCTGAGATAATCCTAACATTACTCTGTGGAGGCACTGAAAACAAAGCACTGTTATGAGTCTGTGGATTACATAGCCTCCCTGGTTCAACCTTGACAGTGTCTCTTTCTCCAGTCAGACTCTTATCAACCACATGACACTCCCCTCTTCCTCCCAGGTTACTCAGAGGTACCCCCTGCTGGGGGTAAGGGGTATGGCACGGGATACTCAGACCCCTCCTTGGACAGCAGTGCCCCTGCACCTACAGAGGGTGTAGTGAACGGCATGGACCCCCCTGAGCTGGGGTATCCCCTCTATGACTCTGTGACTGGGTCAGCAGGTCAGTAGCAGTCCTCTGGTCAGCTCCCTCTGGGTCAGACGCTTTTGAGATGCCATGCTCGGATCTGGCGTTGGAGGGAATTGGATACATTCCGTTTCCCTGTTTTGCCTTTCAGTATTGTCATTGAGTGTTGCGTCAATTAATGTCATAACGATTACCAATAGTAACGGTCAGAGATGTATGGCTTTGGTAACATTTGCTGTGCACAAGGGCTAAAGCTTGTAGCTTTGCAGCCTATAGTCAAACATACATTTTGATCTGAAATTGTGTGTGCAGTGGAGGGGGAGGCAGTGAAGGAAAAGCAGCCCCTCGCAGAGGTGAGCATGAGAGAATCTCTGAAGAAACAGCTGGAGTTCTGCTTCTCCAGGTAAGTAGTTAACTGCTTTATTTCAGATGGTTGTTATAACTTAAATACTTAAATACAGTCAGAAGTGAAATGTCTCTCATTGATCTAAGACATTCTAGACAGTGTGTGATAATTTTAGGTAATGTATCGTGTAGACCTTGGATTTGTACCCCCGGTGATGATCAGTATCGCGCTTGGAAGGACCCAGGAGCGCTGTGACTGTGGAAGGCTATCTTCTTCATATCTCTCTAAATCTATTCTCCCTCTCTAACTTTCCTACTCCTTCTACACCTCTTCCTCCTCTCCCTCTTTCTTTCCTTCGCTCCGTCAGCGCAGTGTGACTGACCTAATGACCGTGAGATTATGAGATCTGAGGGGAACAAGGAAAAGAAACATGGGGACATATGAATGTATAAATGTGTGATTTTGATATCTTCGCACACCGTAGGATGTAACAGACATGGCTTGTTGGTTTTTCATGCCCTGTTGCTGTCTGTGTCTTCAGAGAGAATCTGTCCAAGGACTTGTACCTGATGTCCCAGATGGACAGTGACCAGTTTGTCCCCATCTGGACCATCGCCAGCATGGAGGGCATCAAGGTCCTCACCACTGACATGGACCTGATCCTGGAGGTGCTACGAGGTACAAACACAAACCCACCTCATCTTTACCCTGTGGGAGTGGGGAGAACTGAGGAAATAGCCTCCCTGGGCAGGCTTATAGCTGTAGCCTGCTACAAGACTGGTCCGAAACAAGCTCAGATTGCAGTTGTAAAGACTCTTACCAGATGTTGTGTTGACATTGCTGGGAACGAGATTAGTAGTAGAAGTAACAATGTGGTGGCTGTAACACCACCAGTAGATTAATATGTAATTGTATAGAAAGGGATAATAATGGCAGTTGTGGTAGTCAAAACTTAAACAACAAGGTAGTTATGTCATAGTAGTAATGGGAGCAGCAGTAAGTAGGTGAGGAAATTACCTGATCAATTTGAAAGTTAAACTTGAGTGAGGGTTTTTCAAGCACTTCGGGTAGGTATGCATGAACCTGGCTTCAGGAGCAAACTCACTCAAAGGAGAGAAAATAATCATCAGTGTCATTATTTAAAAAGGCTCTAGTAAATCTTAGTGGATGATATTTCTGTTGACATGTTGATCAGGGGTCGCATTAGCTTTCAGAAATCTGCAGCCAAATTGAAAAAGCAAAGTATTTTTTTTGCAAAAACTGCATGGCAATCATATTTCTAATGTTTGTCATAGAATGTAGCCAGCTACATTTCCTAATGTTTTGCTTGAAGTTAATCTTGCATTTTAGCTGGCTACCTGAGGAAAAACTACACCGCAGGAAAGTACCGGAGAAAAGTAGCCTACACATCAGTCAGAGCGCTGTCTGGTGATCCAATGACGAGAACAAAGATATTTCATCCGGGTGGAGAAGTGCAACTCAATGAAGCATGAAATTAGTCCCTTTACATTCATGATTTAGGACGAACCCTGACTGAAGCCGAGCAGAATTTACAATAAGAAGTGTTGTTTTTATCTTTCCTTTCCTGTGTGAAAAACACAATCCTGCATTAATGTGACCCCTGCTTGATGTATTTCTGGATGTGCGTGTGGTTTCAGCCTCGCCCATGGTACAAGTTGACGAGAGTGGTGAAAAGGTTCGGCCCAACCACAAGCGCTGCATCATCATTCTGAGGGAGGTGCCTGAGACCACACCGGTAGAGGTAACCAAATGGGAGAATTCACGTTTTCGTGTTTGAACAGTTTTTCCAGTTTTACAATTTACCTTTGTGTAGCCATTGGCTCATTACATGTGATGAATAGAACTGTTGTAGAACTGTAAAAGAAAGGTTCTTACACCCTCATCTTCCCTCGATTTACTTCTTTCCTTTTCCCTCAGGAAGTAGAGGCCCTCTTTAAGAATGAAAACTGCCCCAAAGTGATAAGTGTTGAATTTGCAGCCAACAACAACTGGTACATCACGTTCCAGTCGGACACTGATGCACAGCAGGTAGCGTTTCACGTTCATAACTAGTGATGGGGAAAAATCGATAGTTACATATCCCAATATTATTGTGGATGATATAATATCGATACTTTGACTCGAGTATCGTTTTTGTTGTTGTTGCTAGGTAGCGCTAGCTAGTGCTAGTCAGCTCTACCTGCACCAAAATGCTGGTATTTTTCATCCTATAGCTTGTTCTCCATCTTCTTTTTAAATAGTGAGCCAACATGTTTTCATCGCTATTATTTCCATGAGTGATCAAAACTAATTTTCTCATGCTCTCGCTTGTCTCCCTGCAGCAGACAGTGAGCAATATTTTTGGAACATCGAATCGCAATGCATATAGAATCGATACATAGCGTATTGACACCTAAGTATCGTGATAATATCGTATTGTGAGGTCCCTGGCAATTCCCAGCCCTATTCCTAACTCTCCGTAGTCAGTGAAAATGACTTGCAAATTCCAGGTCCTAATTCAAAGTTCACAGCGCATGTTTTTTGCAGTTTGTGTCTACTAATATTGTACACATTTAATTTCCTGCTTGTTGGGCCATTCAACCCATAACAGTTCTGTTTATTGATCTAGTTCACCAGTACAGTCTAACTTGTTAATTGTTTTAATGTGGAATGAGTGATGCAATTAAGTTGGCCAGTGTGTTAATTAGCTGATTGTTGTCACCTGTTACAAATGAACAGACATGCTTCAGTTTGTTACAGGGAGGCTCTTTTCTGTTTGTGGGGTTGATGCTGCTGATATGTCTGTGCAAGTTGTAGATAAAATAAACCAATTTAAACATATAGTCATATCGCCTACTACATGTGAAGGGGGATTGTCCAGCTGTCTCACAGGTCCTGTGTGGCTCAGTTGGTAGAGCATGGATCTTGCAACGCCAGGGTTGTGGGTTCGATTCCCACGGGGGAACAGTATGGGAAAAAAGTATGAAAATGTATGCACTCACTAGTGTAAGTCGCTCTGGAGAAGTGCGTCTGCTAAATAACCAAAATGTAAATGTACTTTATTTGTTCTCGCTTCTCCTTCCTCAGGCCCACAGATATCTAAGGGAAGAAGTGAAAACATTTCAGGGAAAACCCATCATGGTTAGTACATTTTACTTTTCTTTTCTCACGTAAGACGTGCTTTTCTTTGCTCATATTTCATTTGGTCAAGGGAAGGCAATGCGTAACATAAGTCAACTGTACAGCTCTGAGATCTTGTGCTGTACCTCCCTCACTGTTCTGCAGTCAGCTTTTACGAGGTGAAGTCAGTGAGTTTTAAAAGGGGATGCTGTCTGGTTGCTGGGAGCAGGCTACACTACAGCAAGGTCACCTTGAGTTTGTGCCTGCATAAGGGTCTGATAAGGAAGGAGAGGCTAGCCAGCCAGACTGCAAGCAATTTCTCTCTCCTTCTGTTCTACTGGTCTCCATCTCCCACATTCAAGAAGTTATGGCATTGTCCACATTTCATTCAACCACTCTTCTTTAGCAGTAGTTATTTTTGGTTATCTGTGTTATTGGTAAATGTACCTGGCAACACATTCCGACTTAATTTAAGAGTGACTGACAATGTGAATTTAATTTGATTGGTGTGCTAAATCAAGTAGCTTAATGCATTAAACTCCAGAACTCTGATTTGATTTTCCTGATTTTTAAGGCCGACAAAAGCGAAGCCCCCAGTGTTGATCAGTATCGCACTTGCAAGGACCCAGGAGCACTGTGACTGTGGAGGACTCTCCTCCAGCTCTCTAAATCTCTGTCTCCTCCTCTGACCTTTCCTCCCTTTTTTCATCCCCCTCTACACCTCTTCCTCCTCTCCCTCCTTCAGCACAGTGTGACTGACCTAATGACTGTGAGATTATGGGATCTGAGGGGAACAAGGAGCATAGCCTCCATTTCCTTCTCTCTGTGAATGGCAGTGTAGGGAGTGGGGACACACTCATATGAAACCTCTTTTAATATGTTGAAATTGTTTATTCAATGGGCTGCATGTTGTACTGTGTATTAATGTGTGCTAACATGTCATGTGTTCATACTCTCTTAATTTCTACCCCTCTTTGCATTCCTCTACACACAAATCTCCATGCCCCACCTGTCTGTCTCTCTCGCTCTCTTTTCCTCTGTCCAGGCTCGTATCAAGGCCATCAACACATTCTTTGCAAAGAATGGCTACCGTAGCGTACCAGACTCCAGTGTGTACAGCCAGCAGGGCCAGTCTCAGTCCCAGTACAGCTCTACACACCTCTACATGCAGCAGGTGTTCAGCCCCCAGCAGCAGTACCCACTCTACCCCCTGGTGCCCCCCACCTGGAACCCATCGCCTGCCCCTTATTTCGAGACCCCACTGGTAAGGCCCGGATGATTGTGGTTCCCTGTTGTAACTCGTATTACACTTGGTTATAAGTACTGTTGTTCATTCCTAGGATGACCAGCCCCTCCAGAGTATGTAATGGAGAGTGTGGCAGTTGCTTATAAAGGGAACAATAGTGTTGGGTGTACCTGTAGTTACTCAATTCTGAACAAAGGAGATGTCAAAAAATAAGAATCAAATTGAGTCCAGTTTTCAACAAATGGCTCCTTTTTGAAGTAAAAACATGTGACCCAGTGATGACAGAACAATGCGCATGGAGGGGTTTCAGGCTGGGAGACAAGCCACTCTGGGTTCATCTATTCCCCCAAATCCTCTTCCTCTCACTCCTTTCTCTTACCCCCCCAAAGTGGTACATCTCCACAGCCGACCCCAGTGAGCGGTAAGATTATGAGATCTGAGGGTCTGGATAGGTGATTTAGGAACACGCATGGTAAACGTCATCCTCAACATGTTCAGACTCTAATGAATATACCATGTGTCAGCTGTAACACACCCTTCACCTTGCACTCTGGGGTCAGAGTGGTCATGACATTTAGTAATGTAGCACTGTCAGGATCAGCTGGTCCTGTAAGAGCTGTGGCATAGAACTGAGGTGATAAACCTTTGTCATTGACTGTCACTGAGTGATCATGGGCAGCAATTTAGTTTTCTTCCCTCTTTCATCCAGGCCCCGTTCCCCAACAGTGGTTTTGTGAACAGCTTCAGCACCCCTGGGAACTACAAGACTGGCACCAGTCCCCTGGGCCTCGGACGATTGCCCTTCAACAGCAACCGGTAGGTGTTTTCTCTCAGGGCAAGAACCCCCATCTGGCTTGAACTTGAGGCTTTATCAAATGGCTTTGACCCAATGATGACAAATCGATGCGCATAGAGGTGCTTCAAGCTGTGGGATGAAGGCTTTTGGGTTTCTTTCTCCTCCCTCCCTCCTACTTTTCTTTCCAACTCTCTCTCGCGCCCCAAAGTCACTAGTCTCTACACTTGACCCGATGAGCGTTAAGATTATGAGATCTGAGGGTTCAAACTGGTGTTATTTGGCCATCAAAAGTGGACCTGTGAATTCTTCCACAGCCTTGTTCTGACATTCTGTAAAAAAAAAGCTGGTTTAACTAGCACCGGGGTGGTTGTAATTGATCAGACAATGTGAACAAAATAAGACAAATTGTATTTGGTTGTAGTTTTTTGGGCTCTGCTGTTATAAATAACTTGTTGCCTTTTACTCCCCCCTGTCCCACAGTGTCCCCCTCTATTCCAGAAAGAATGTAATCAATGCCTTCAGGTATAAACGAACAGATATCAATCATGTCATCAGTCGATGCTCCCCCACACCTCCATTTCATCCAGTCTCATTCTAAAACATACGTTAGCAAGCTAGATGTTAATGCAGATTTAAACTATCCATGTAATGCTACAGTGTAGTGTCCTTGAACTGTGGTGAATGGCAACCCTCAACTGATATTTGAGAAAGCTAGCGTAACTCTCACAAATGACAGTATTTCGAATGGAGAGCTCAGGGATTAAATTCAAGTTTGCACTTTGACTACAAGATGCAGCAAGTTCAATACCATCAGCTTGTGCTTAGCAAACGAAAACCCTTCCCTTAGTATTCTATACAGTAGCATAGTTACCATCCCCTCATCCACCATCTTAATGTTTTAATGTCCTCATCCTCTCCATATCTGCATGAGTCGTACTGGAACAGCTCTAGCTGTTTTGTGATCAAGTTAGACTGAATGATAGCTAGCAGTTATGCCTGTGAGAATGAGATCCAGTTATGACTAACTGACTGATTTTCCTCCTCAGGAACCATGTGAAGAGCCAGCCCCGGCCATGTGACGAGGCCCTACCTCCCTCTGTGACCCCCGTACCCCCCCTGGTGGATGGCCTGTCTGGCCCCTCCAGCCCTCAGCCACCCCGGATGGCAGGGGCTCCCCTGGTTTGCACCCCCGAACATGGCCCTGCTCTTACCTCCTACGCCCTCAGGGACACCCTTCCACTGCCTGCAGAGGAGATGTCTAACGGAGACCTGGGCATTGCTGGCAGAGGCAGGTCAGTCTCCACAGAGCACGCACGGACACACACACACACACACACACACACCCACAACCTGCTCATACATGAAATGCCATCATATCACAATTGGGCTTTACCAGATGGCTTTGACCCTATGATGACAAATCGATGCACATAGAGGTGCTTCAAGTTGTAGGATGAAGGCTTTTGGGTTTCACTCTCCTCCCTTTCTTTCACTCAAACTCTTTCTCTTCTATCCCCCCCAAGTCACTAGTCTCTACACTTGACCCGATGAGCGGTAAGATTATGAGATCTGAGGGTTCAAACATGTCTTATTTGGCCATACAAAGCCTTCCCAGAACAGAAACAATGCCTTTTACACTTTGGCTTCTTATGCTCATCTTGGTGATAATGTTTGTGTGTAGGAGAGGCAGCTATCGAGGGATGCGCAGAAGGAGAGAGGACGAGCGGATCACGGTCAGTTATGTTTTTCTTATTTAATTTCCATTTCTGTCCCATGTTTATTGTGTTTTCTACACCCTATTCGACCCAAGCGCAGTTGGATTGGAGCTAAAAATGTGATTCTTGTGTGTGGGTTTAGAGGCCCATCCCTCAGAGCGGGGTTAAGGTTCCACAGCCCAAGTTTGACTTGGCGACCTCTAACTTCCCGCCGTTGCCTGGGAATGCGGTCAGCGCGCAGGGAGAAGAGCCCGTGCTGGAGACGCGCATGTCTGACGTGGTGCGGGGCCTCAAGGGGGTGACCAGTGACAAGGTAAGGAGAAACTCTAACGATATTACACTTCATTTTTTCCTCTTGACCCAACCAAATAGGCTAACTAGGGCGGATATTATACACTGCTCAAAAAAATAAAGGGAACACTAAAATAACACATCCTAGATCTGAATGAATGAAATAATCTTAAATACTTTTTTCTTTACATAGTTGAATGTGCTGACAACAAAATCGCACAAATTATCAATGGAAATCAAATTTATCAACCCATGGAGGTCTGGATTTGGAGTCACCCTCAAAATTAAAGTGGAAAACCACACTACAGGCTCATCCAACTTTGATGTAATGTCCTTAAAACAAGTCAAAATGAGGCTCAGTAGTGTGTGTGTGGCCTCCACGTGCCTGTATGACCTCCCTACAACGCCTGGGCATGCTCCTGATGAGGTGGCGGATGGTCTCTGAGGGATCTCCTCCCAGACCTGGACTAATGCATCCGCCAACTCCTGGACAGTCTGTGGTGCAACGTGGCGTTGGTGGATGGAGCGAGACATGATGTCCCAGATGTGCTCAATTGGATTCAGGTCTGGGGAACGGGCGGGCCAGTCCATAGCATCAATGCCTTCCTCTTGCAGGAACTGCTGACACACTCCAGCCACATGAGGTCTAGCATTGTCTTGCATTAGGAGGAACCCAGGGCCAACCGCACCAGCATATGGTCTCACAAAGGGTCTGAGGATCTCATCTCAGTACCTAATGGCAGTCAGGCTACCTCTGGCGAGCACATGGAGGGCTGTGCGGCCCCCCAAAGAAATGCCACCCCACACCATGACTGACCCACCGCCAAACCGGTCATGCTGGAGGATGTTGCAGGCAGCAGAACGTTCTCCACGGCGTCTCCAGACTCTGTCACGTCTGTCACGTGCTCTGTGTGAACCTGCGAAGAGCACAGGGCGCCAGTGGCGAATTTGCCAATCTTGGTGTTCTCTGGCAAATGCCAAACGTCCTGCACGGTGTTGGGCTGTAAGCACAACCCCCACCTGTGGACATCGGGCCCTCATACCACCCTCATGGAGTCTGTTTCTGACCGTTTGAGCAGACACATGCACATTTGTGGCCTGCTGGAGGTCGTTTTGCAGGGCTCTGGCAGTGCTCCTCCTGCTCCTCCTTACACAAAGGCGGAGGTAGCAGTCCTGCTGCTGGGTTGTTGCCCTCCTACGGCCTCCTCCACGTCTCCTGATGTACTGGCCTGTCTCCTGGTAGCGCCTCCATGCTCTGGACACTATGCTGCCAGACACAGCAAACCTTCTTGCCACAGCTCGCATTGATGTGCCATCCTGGATGAGCTGCACTACCTGAGCCACTTGTGTGGGTTGTAGACTCCGTCTCATGCTACCACTAGAGTGAAAGCACCGCCAGCATTCAAAAGTGACCAAAACATCAGCCAGGAAGCATAGGAACTGAGAAGTGGTCTGTGGTCACCACCTGCAAAACCAGTCCTTTATTGGGGGGTGTCTTGCTAATTGCCTATAATTTCCACCTGTTGTCTATTCCATTTGCACAACAGCATGTGAAATGTATTGTCAATCAGTGTTGCTTCCTAAGTGGACAGTTTGATTTCACAGAAGTGTGATTGACTTGGAGTTACATTGTGTTGTTTAAGTGTTCCCTTTATTTTTTTGAGCAGTGTACTTTTTTTGCCTGGTCAGGTCACTTAACCCCAACTCTTACATCCGGCAGGTAGCCTTGTGGTTAAGAGCGTTGGGCCAGTAACCGAAATGTTGCTGGTTTTAATCTTGAGCCGACTAGGTGAAAAAACTGTCTATGCTCTTGAGCAAGGCGCTTAACCCTAATATGCTCCTGTAAGACGCTCTGTTTAAGCACGTCTGCTAAATGACTAAAATGTAATCTCTCTCTCATTTTGGTCTCTCAACCAAATGCCATGTTTTGTCCTCCTCCAAGTCAACTGTGTCCTATCGCGCTCTCTCTCTCATTTCCAGCCTGAGGTGAGTAAGGAGTCTGTGGCCCCTCCAGTTAGTGCCCAGGAGGAAACTGTGAGCGCGCCCAGTCCTGTCATGCCGGCCCTCAAACCCCCCACCCCTCTGGTTGTGGAGCCCCCTGGTCGAAGGTATGGTCTACCTCTGGTTAACAGCCACAAAGATGTGCTGTAGGGATTTTGAAGAGATTTAACTGTCGGAAATAAACCTTATTGGTAATATTTTCTTCTCCTGTCTGTGCAGTGTTGCTCACCCGGTGAAGAAAGTGGAGAAGCCTGAGCCTCATGTCCAAAGGGAGCCTGCTCCAACCCCCACACCACCCTCTTCTCTGCCAACCCCCTCACAGCCCGCTGCTGCTACCAAACCCACCCCTACCCCCACCAGCAGTCAGTCCATCTCCATGACAACACCAGTCCCCGCTGCCCCCACTACCACACCTGCACCGGTAAGACTTCACTCACTACCTGGCTGATTTCACTGGATAGATAATGCATTGGATAGAATGTTGTCAGTTAACATATCTAGTTAAAAAAATGTAAACTAAAAGCTATTCTACCTATTCTCTCTCCTCCCTCTATTCTATTTCCTGTCTGTATTTCACCATCCAACCAGGAGCCAAGGAAGCTGAGCTATGCTGAGATGTGCAAGCGGCCAGCCACCCTGCCCCCAGCCCCCAGCACCTGCCCCAACCCTCCCACCACCTCAGCCAGCCAACCCCTGCGGGAGCTTCTCGTCAACAAGGCCGACGAGCCCGCCTCCTCCAGCAGCAATGGCGATATGCCGGAGAAACCCGAGAGGTCTGGAGAAGGCCGGCCCCCCCGTGACCCCCTGGGCTCATACCGTGGGGGCAACGGCCCTGCCCGATCCGGAGGGATGGGCCTAAAGTACCGGGATCAGCAGAGAGGTGCCTCCATGAGCAGACGGATCTCCCCCCACGGCTGGGCTAGACGGAGTGGGAAGGAACAGAACATTCCGCCCCGGTCGCCAAAGTAGTTTAAACCACAACCAACAGACTAACAGGAAAACAAACAGATCTATATATGTAAAGACAGAAATATATGAAAATATATTATTGGATGAAAGAACATGTGCGTTCTTAATCTAAAAGACCCTCCTGCAGCTCGGTCGGACACAGACTGAACTTTGTTTGGGAAACACTGCAAGCGGTAATCATTTTAAGAGGAGGGGGCGGACATGAGTGTCACTAATCACAAACTGAAGGACTTGTTTGAAAGAACAGTGAGACGCTGACATGCGGTCTCCCCTTGGTTAGCTTGAAGGATGGGCCCTCCACCGCTAAATCTATGAATTTTATTTTTATGTGAAAGTGGGGTTTGAGGGAGGGGGGACAAATGTACGGTAAAGCTTTGTATCTCCAAAATACCAGTAGTTGCAAAGTAAGAAACAACAGTTGAGCTGTTAGCAACTCTAGTTAATATGCAACAAAGCAAAAGATGTGGATATCTACCGATATGACGGAACTGAGTTGATATTACTTCCTTATTAATTTTTTTGTTGAGGGAGGGGTTAGTAAGGGATTGTTCATGAACTGTGTGGAAGTGGGTTTTTATGAAGGTTCGAAGCAAGAAGGGGCCAAATGGATTTAGAAGTGTCTGTTTTTAACTGTTCTGTGAGATGGAGAGAGTTGGGAAGCCTGTCAAGTCAAGCTGCACAATTTTAGGTGAAGAAACTGCCATAGACGTGTCTGCTTTGAAAGTCTGGAATTTTTAACCAGTGTGGAAATGTGAATTTATTAAAATCGTTGCATTTCTTTTCATGGTTGATGGAAACGTTTGGTACACCCTTGCATAAGTAGGACATTCAAACCTTTACAATAATGGTGCATGAATACTTGAGCTGTGCAAATTTGGGGACACTTTTGTATAGTCAGACTAATGTAACTGAATTGTTATATTTGTCCTTTTCTCTTCATTTACTATCACTTCCATACAGATGGTTAAATGTTTGGCTTTGTATGTCATGGGTAAATGCTCATCTAGGGAGGAGTCTTCCCTTAGCTTAGGTGTTTAGTTATTGTGAGGCACTGTCACCACTCTCATCCTAGACACTTAATGGTGCACGTATCTGGCATTTCATGAATTATACAGTGTTGTACATAGCCATTTAAGAAGAGCAGTTTTTATTTGTGGCTTGCACCGAAGCTGAACATATTGTATTAATATTTACATTTGTATTCTCCTACCTACACGGTCAAATGCAGGTTACCGGCGTTGATTATATACCTTCCTTTTTATGTCTTAATGGAATAGGCAGTCTTGAACATCAAATAGAAACCCTTCCACCCCATATATCTGGTCATTTCAACATGCTCTGTTACCATATCTGTGCAACAGGCTCCCGGGTAGTCTTTCATGCATTTTGGTAGCTCTTGTATAGGCTAGATGGTATCTCATAGAGTAGTAATGGCAGATTTAGTGCAATGGTATCCCAAGCATGAAACTGGTCTCTGGTACTCTATGTATTCCAACTTGCTCATTTAAAATGGCAAAAATAGGCCTGAATTCTGAAGCAAGTAAACAGACTCAATTATCATGTTCTCTTAAGGCCGTGTCTACACTTAATAGTTCATTCAGCTTTTGTATTCGGATCATGGAATTCCGAATGCGTCATGCATCTACACCTACATTTTAAATGTCTACCGTGTCCGGAATCCCCTTTCCCGCGCTATATTCGAATGCTAGTTCGCATTCTACAAACGGTTGAATAGGCAAAGTATGACTCAAACAACTGATGGCAGTAGCTACTACTGTAGCTAGCAAGCAACGCCAAAGGGATTGCAAACGCGTTAGCATAACACTAGCCAAACAAATTGTTTGACTCAAAAAGTATGACTCAAACAAAATATTAGCTAGCTGGCTAACGTTTGAGTCCAGAAAACACGTTCCTAGCGTGTGAGGAATGCATTTCCTTCAACGTTATAATGACACTGCTTCTCGGTCCCAAAACAAGTTTTCTGGAGACTTATGGGTTGAGTGCTGATGACGTCGCCCACTGTATGCGCTTTCTGTAGCCTGATGCGTCATAGGATTAGATTGCAATTTCTTTCCTCGTACATTTCACTTTTTGATTTTCTCTTCATCTTAGATTTGTTTTGATTGAAGATTTTAATGCTTATCATGATTTTTGAATTCTGTACATGTCCATTGATTGCAAAAAGGAAACTTTAGAGCGTTTGTCGTGCACATGTTAATGATGGGTCGCATATGTCAGAGTAAAAACATGTTTTTTTTAGGAACTCAGTTGGGGTCTCAATTTACTGTTTAGAGTTAGAATAGTAGAATACACTAGGTACAACTTTAGAAATTTAATGGTGCATAAGCAGTTTTACTCTTGTCAGTCACTCTTTTAGCCATGTCAGCAAACACGTTTTTGATTGGTAAATTAGTCTAGCCAGCTATCTAAACTTGTATCATCAAGGCCGAAACCCACCGGGCACGCCCAGGGGCCCTGACCTCCAGGGGGCCCCCATTGAGTTGGTTAGTCACTCTCACTTAGATATCATGTTAACATGGCATAAGTCATGGCACAATGTTTAGAATTGCAGGAAATTTGCTATAAAACTGCAAAGATTTATCTCCATCCCATGGCAGTATATCTTTTATAAAGTTGCAAAATTCTCTCTGCCCCATGGCAAAATGTGTAGAATTTAGGAAATGTACTTTAAAACTAAAATGTTTCTCTCTGCCATCAAGAGGGGGGGGGCATTCTCACCTAACCAAATCATGCTTAGGGCCCCCAAAAGGGTGCATCATTTCATGAGCTTGGGTCCCAGGCTGAAAAAGTGTAAGAACCCCTGCTTTAGAGTGATATCTTAAATGTAAATGATGTTAGAGTTGACTAGATGTGGGGGAGCATCAACCTTAATATCTGTTCTCTCGATGCTCTTACAAACTCATAATTTAGCCTTTGTGTATGAATGGATTGAACACCATCCAGACAAGTCAAGCAAGCAAAAATACAATTTTGGGAGCTTGCGCAAATCTGGGCAGGAAGTGGATATCAACTGTTGCTGAAACAGGATTGGACAGTCATGGCTTAATGAATGTAGTCCTGTTTGAGTGAAGGGCACTTTCATAAGTGGTGTGAATGTTCTTGTACTGATGATTTTGCGCCTAGCAGGCTTGTCTTTAACTGGATTGTGTTAAAGATGACAATGTGTTGCGATTTTAATTTTTTCTCATTCTGTTCTGCTGTATTAGTGAGCACATTTGAGATAATGTTTTGAAAGAGTTCTGCAGTTTGACTTTATAAAATGTATTGTAACTAATGTACTTTTTTTTTTTCAATGCATTTTTAGTATGGCTTTTATTGTTCCCCAAAATGTATGTAATAGTTGAGTATACAATATCTGATTTGAGAATTTGCTAAATTGAGAATTCAGTGCATTGCCTGGGTGCTAGCAGTGCAGTAACATGTTATCTATGTAATCACTGGGCCTGTTTTTCTGATTTTATATTTTTACATCCATTAATGGCTAAACTACGAGCAGGTAGTGGTGTTTTGGAATGAAATGCGCTAACTTTTGTTTTAAAATCTCCCTTATTCTGTAAGGTGTAGAATCATCATTTTAGATGTCTACCTTGAAGAAAAGCGGTTTTACTGTTTCGATTGTTCTAGCATTTCTCTACTGGGACAAAGGGGTTGCAGGTGGGACATAGTAACATAAGTGGGGTGTGAGACACTGAATTACTGATTTTAGTAGATGTCTGAACAAAAAAAGAGTTAAAGAAAATAATAAAGTACATGTTTTGGCCTTAGTGATTCTGGGTCCTGTGCTTGCAATGATTTTGCCGTCTGTGCTCAGTAGTTCTGTGGTCTTGTACCGGACCTCTGTGTTAAGATGTTCGTTGAGCGTGTTTGTGTGTCAGGGTGCGTCTATGCCTCTCCACCAGTCCTACTTTGACAGTCCCCTGTCATCATGTCTAAATAAATAAAAATTCAGGCCTAACTAAAATTCCAGTGCCTTCTCAGTGTTGAGGTTTTCCTTCTCTGCAAAGTAAGAGTAACATGAACACATTAATTCGGAACAAGGCAGGTTTGTTGGTTTAGTGGAAAGACAAAAATACATGGCTCATACTCCCAAAGTGATCATTTATACATTGTCATTGAACTTGAGCGAGAGTGTGTGTGTGTGCTGTGTCACATAGAAATGTAAGCGCCTCGCATGACTGCTGAAATTGTAATGTGCTGCTTCAATAACAACAGCTCCTTTGAAAACCAGTGAAAAGGTGAAGCAAGTCGGATGGTGTGAGCAGGAACGTATACACACTGGTTTACTGTGTTGTGAATGTATCATTGCAAACATGAACATGTACGAGAATAAACATTTTAAACACTGCATTGTATTTATTGAATCAAACGGTGGCAATATTGTTTTGCATGAGTGAAGTCCAAAAATATAAATTTTGCTTGGTGTTTGTCCCAAATGTCATACTGTATACTGTGTCATCAGGTTGCAGACTCCGGTCTTAACCTTTCAAAACCAGAGACGATACGTTTTGTACTGGCATCAGTGCGGTTTTTAAATACATTAAATGTTTTACATGTTTGTCTTCTACAGTGGGGAAAAAAAGTATTTAGTCAGCCACCAACTGTGCAAGTTCTCCCACTTAAAAAGATGAGAGAGGCCTGTAATTTTCATCAACGGTACACGTCAACTATGACAGACAAATTTAGGGAAGAAAATCACATTGTAGGATTTTTAATGAATTTATTTGCAAATTATGGTGGAAAATAAGTATTTGGTCACCTACAAACAAGCAAGATTTCTGGCTCTCACAGACCTGTAACAACTTCTTTAAGAGGCTCCTCTGTCCTCCACTCGTTACCTGTATTAATGGCACCTGTTTGAACTTGTTATCAGTATAAAAGACACCTGTCCACAACCTCAAACAGTCACACTCCAAACTCCACTATGGCCAAGACCAAAGAGCTGTCAAAGGACACCAGAAACAAAATTGTAGACCTGCACCAGGCTGGGAAGACTGAATCTGCAATAGGTAAGCGGCTTGGTTTGAAGAAATCAACTGTGGGAGCAATTATTAGGAAATGGAAGACATACAAGACCACTGATAATCTCCCTCGATCTGGGGCTCCACGCAAGATCTCACCCCGTGGGGTCAAAATGATCACAAGAACGGTGAGCAAAAATCCCAGAACCACACGGGGGGACCTAGTGAATGACCTGCAGAGAGCTGGGACCAAATTAACAAAGCCTACCATCAGTAACACACTACGCCGCCAGGGATTCAAATCCTGCAGTGCCAGACGTGTCCAGGCCCGTCTGAAGTTTGCTAGAGTGCATTTGGATGATCCAGAAGAGGATTGGGAGAATGTCATATGGTCAGATGAAACCAAAATATAACTTTTTGGTAAAAACTCAACTCGTCGTGTTTGGAGGACAAAGAATGCTGAGTTGCATCCAAAGAACACCATACCTACTGTGAAGCATGCTTTGGGGTTGTTTTTCTGCAAAGGGACCAGGACGACTGATCCGTGTAAAGGAAAGAATGAATGGGGCCATGTATCGTGAGATTTTGAGTGAAAACCTCCTTCCATCAGCAAGGGCATTGAAGATGAAACGTGGCTGGGTCTTTCAGCATGACAATGATGCCAAACACACCGCCCGGGCAACGAAGGAGTGGCTTCGTAAGAAGCATTTCAAGGTCCTGGAGTGGCCTAGCCAGTCTCCAGATCTCAACTCCATAGAAAATCTTTGGAGGGAGTTGAAAGTCCGTGTTGCCCAGCGACAGCCCCAAAACATCACTGCTCTAGAGGAGATCTGCATGGAGGAATGGGCCAAAATACCAGCAACAGTGTGTGAAAACCTTGTGAAGACTTACAGAAAACGTTTGACCTGTGTCATTGCCAACAAAGGGTATATAACAAAGTATTGAGAAACTTTTGTTATTGACCAAATACTTATTTTCCACCATAATTTGCAAATAAATTCATTAAAAATCCTACAATGTGATTTTCTGGATTTTTTTTCCTCATTTTGTCTGTCATAGTTGACGTGTACCTATGATGAAAATTACAGGCCTCTCTCATCTTTTTAAGTGGGAGAACTTGCACAATTGGTGGCTGACTAAATACTTTTTTTCCCCCACTGTATATACATTACCTTGTATAGGATATGTATCTGTCGCGTGAATGTTGCTCTTATGTCTTTACTATATACGGTATCTTTCTCATCTGACTTGCCACCACTGAATATTCATCTGGGAAGAATTAAGTAATTATATTCTATAGGGTGCCATTTGGGATGCATCCTTGGACTCCTTTAGCACTGAGACCTAGGGCTGAAGTTCAAACTGGTTCAATCACCAATAAATGCCAAGGCAGTGAGTTGCCCTCCCAGTCTTGTCATTCTTTGGATCTGGAATTCCATATAAGTGAGACAGACAGGCTTGTTCTCACATTATGCTCTTGAATGGCTGCTGTGGAAATAAAAGATTGGAGTGTACAAATACAGCAGAGAAAATAGAGGATTTTGTGACAGATTTGATGCCATCTGTTGTTGGATAGATAAAGGTTCAGCTCCAGGCATAAGCGACACAAGTGGTTGCTTAGGGGGCCCCGGACCAATTCATAAAAAATTAAATAATTGTAACTCAGGGTCTCAACTTACTGTTGAGCGTTAGAGTAGTAGAATACACAAGGTGGAACTTCGTAATTTGGTTGTGCATCAGCAGTTTTTTATCTTATGTCAGTCACTGATAGTGCGGAGTGATTTGTGCTTTTTGAGGTTGGTTCAATTCTTAAAAATTAATCATGGTTTTTGATGTAGATTTTTATTTTTTAACAAATGCATTATGAACTAATGACATTACAATGATTTAAGAGCTTTTTAATGGAAATTCCAAAGCCCAAAATAGTGAACATTCAACTGCCAAAACATTGAAAATATTCCATTGTCTCTGCAGGTCCACATTGGGTAAACATCAATAGAAAATAACTATGAAATAAAATAATTAAGTTGTGTATATTACTTAGTTTTTATTTGATTACTTTCTTTTTTTAATTCCCTTAAGACATAATCTCATCACTACTCAGGCAGTCGCAGCCAGCCAGACCATCCAATGTTATCTACACTGAACAAAAATATAAACCATGCCAGCCAAGGACCTCTACATCCGGCTTCTTCACCTGCGGGATCGTTGATGAAACTGAGGAGTATTTCAGTCTGTAATAAAGCCCTTTTGTGGGGAAAACTCATTCTGGTTGGCTGGGCCTGGCTCCCCAGTGGGTGGGCCTATGCCTTCCCAGGCCCACACATGGCTGTGCCCCTGCCCAGTCATGTGAAATCCATAGATTAGGACCTAACAAATTCATTTTTCATTGACTGATTTCATTTACATTTTACATTTTAGTCATTTAGCAGACGCTCTTATCCAGAGCGACTTACAGTTAGTGAATACATATATATTTTTTTATATACTGGCCCCCCGTGGGAAACGAACCCACAACCCTGGCGTTGCAAACGCCATGCTCTATCAACTGAGCTACATCCCTGCCGGCCATTCCCTCCCCTACCCTGGACAAATTGTGCGCCGCCCATGAGTCTCCCGGTCGCGGCCGGCTGCGACAGAGCCTGGATTCGAACCAGGATCTCTAGTGGCACAGTTAGCACTGCGATGCAGTGCCTTAGACCACTGCGCCACTCAAGACGACAGATTTCCTTATATGAACTGTAACTCAGTAAAATTGTTGAAATTATTGCATGTTGCATTTATATTTTTGTTCAGTATTTATGCTCCCAATACTGTATTGTCATTCCTGTACTGTTTCGCTAGGTTGCCTAAGTATGCTGCAGAGCTGTCTGACAAAATCATTTTACTAGTTCTTCAAAGTAGATAAGGCATACTTTCACGAACTGTCTCTGTCCCTCTCATCGTTGTGTTGTGTACAATCCTCTCTCATGCGGTCTATGCAGTCTGTGTGTATCTAACCTAATGTAGCAGGCGTAAAAGTTAATCCGTCCAGATATCTGTATATAATGATGAGATGCTCATGTCTCCGCCCTAACAATGGGAGTCGTTGTCCCAAAGAAACGCATTAGGCTTATTTTGGACAGATTTTGGATAGAGTCCATTTTCTTTGTTTAATAATCAGCACTACTCAAACTAAAATGTTTTGCCGGCAAGGTGGGGGGGTTCCCCAACCAAATCTCGCTTAGGGCCCCCAAAAGGCTAGGGCCGGCCCTGAAAGGATACCAAACAATGGACTGTAATTTTCCACAAGTAGAAAATATTCTGCCATTATACATTTGTGTAGGCTTGCACTTACATCAAGCATACAACATACAATGTATCATATTATGATGAAAATGTTTTGAAAAACACCGTGATTTGTCAATTGCAGGGCTCTCATCATAGTTAATTTTTTTTGCCATTTGAGGACACATTCAATGATCCTCATGTTTACATAATACCCGACCCCAGTAATCCTGTTACGTAAGAAATTGAACAGTTTCACCTCTCGCGCGATTTCAACCCAACGCAGGCAGCGCAGTGTAGGATTTCCAGCAGCGGAGAAGGGGAGAGGTAGGGACGTTGGGTGAGTTTGTAAACATTTGACTTGCTCGTGTTCAGATATCAAGATTTTACCGAATAGCCTTTGTCGCGGAACAGGTGTATTGACCGTCTGTCACATTACCTTCCCCTTCCTGAAATACTTATTTGACGCGCCTCGATTTGTGTCAGTGCACTAACGTTAGCCTAGCCAGCTAACATAACGTTAGCTAGCTAACTACCCAGTGTGTTGTGTACAGAAGTATCCCCTGGTAAGGCGTTAGCTAGCTAGCTATTGTTTTGCAGAAAAAAGGGGAAGGTAAATAAAACAAGCTAATTTAGCAAAGCGACCGCCAAGAAGCCCTTTTAATTCGCTCGGCCGTGATTGCCAATGTGGTTGATGGTCTGCTGTAACGTTACTGCCTGCCTGTACCAAAACATCTGATCTGATCTGATGTGATGATGATGATGATGATGATGATGGCCTGTCAGATTTTGGATAGTGAGGTCCATTCTTCGTCCTGTCTGACATTATCTATCTAGCTAACTAATTAGCTAGCTAGCTATATCTAGCTTGACGTGCTGTTGTGATCATTGGCCCATAGTTAGTTAGCGAACAAGCAAGGGGCAAGATGGCTAGCTAGTTCGCTACCTTGTTCGCAGAGTCTGTCATTAGCTAGTTAACGTTAGGTAGTTTCTGTCTTAGTTGAGACCATATACATTAAAACCAGGGTTGAGACACTCGCCAACGCCGATTCTGTTGTAAACCGTTTTGCAACAGAAACCGTTTACTCCAAACGGAAAACGAGAGTTATTCAGGTTGGTCCCTCCCCGTTTAGTTCCGTTTGCTCCATTTGGTTCTTAAACGGTTTCCGTTGTAATACGTAATGAATAGACCCCATGAGAACTGCGCTGTTTGTTGACAATCAGCAGAAAGGTGGCAATTTAGCTAGGACAATAGAAGCTAAAGGGCGTATTTTACAATTCAAACACACTAGCTAGTTAAGACTATCACATTTTGACTACCTAGCTGGGACATATATTTAATATAACTTTTTGCACCAAGAAAATGTACGTGTCAGCATTAATATCTTTGTTTGATAGTAACGTTAGCATTTATTTTATTTTTTCATTGTAGTGTAAACAAGGTGCTTTAATTGGAAATACTGAACATGTAGGCAGTAGGAAATCCTTATGAATATCAGCCTCAGTTTTTTTAATGCTACCTAGGTGTTAGAGGCAGAGACAAAATAACACACTTTCATTCTCTTCCTCTCCCATACCTCTTTATTGCAGGTTATTTGTGTGAGATGGGGGACGATCGACCTTTTGTGTGCACCGCCCCAGGCTGTGGCCAGGTAAGGTCTAATTTCCCCTCCTTTTCTCTTCATCCCTCACTCTCTTTTCCTACTCTACCTCCTGTCTTTACAGATCTCGGATTTTAGGAGCCATCAGATGACTCACCTCTGTCTTGCATTTTCTTTGTGCACAGAGATTTACCAATGAAGACCATCTATCAGTCCACAAACATAAGCATGAGATGACCCTAAAATTTGGTCCTGCCAGAACTGACTCGGTCATCATCGCAGGTGCTTAACTTTACTATTCCCAGCATTTCTCAATTACACTGTATGAGAAAAACATATTTTTGTCTAGCTGTCAAACCACCACCACCCTGTGTGGACAGATGATCAATCTCTGTTGTTGATAGAGGGGATTTACCTGTACTGTGAAGCCTCTACACCAGTGTCTCCTCTTTCTCTCTACCACCAGACCAGACCCCCACGCCCACCCGCTTCCTGAAGAACTGTGAGGAGGTGGGTCTGTTCAATGAGCTGGCCAGCTCCTTCGAGCAGGAGTTCCGGAAGGCCCATGAGGACGACCAGAGGAACAAAAACCCGGTGAGGGTGAGGACGGTGGAGGGGCTAGGATGGGTTTGGTTTTTAAACACGGGTAGTTTGACCGACTGATAAATATTGTGTCTGATTGTTGGTCCCGACACAGCTCCCGGCCCCTCAGCTTCTGGCCCCACCCCTACAGACCCCGTCTGGGGTGAAGGAGGAGGATGATGGGCCTCTGGAGGTTGACTCCTCCCCCCCAGGCAGTCCTGACTCCACCTCCAGCATGTCAGACAGCAGCAAGGAGCCAATGGGGAGAGGAAAGGTACGACCTGGGGGCGGGGCGAACAGGGTGTATGGTTGAACAGATTAATTGATGTGTGTTCTTTCCTCTTGTCAAGTTTGCATGGTAACTTGGGTGAGAGAGAAAGAAGGGAACAGTGGTGGCCAGAGAGTAAAGTAATCACTTAACTATGAGGCAAGTAAAGAAGATGTCAGCAAAAAGTAGACAATTAGTGGGTGTCTTAGTGGGTTCAACTCAGCGGCCTATAGTGTCCAACTCCCATCTGAGTTTCACTGACTGGATGTGCTTTGTGTTGACAGGAGACTCTTCCTCCTCCACGGCCATTGTTGAGCTCCACCCCCACGCCAACCATCGTACGCCCAGGGTCCCTCCCCATTCACCTTGGTTACGACCCCCTGCACTCGACCCTGCCGTCACCAACTTCTGTCATCACACAAACCCCACCCTCCAACAGACAACTGGGGTGAGTCTAATTTACCAACATCTGTCTTTATTTGTATTCTCTCTGTCTATTTCATTTATACTAATCTCCTGTTCTCAGCTCTCCGACAGGCTCCTTCCCACTGATAATGCATCTCCCCAACGGACAGACTGTCCCTCTCCTCCCCAGCCCAAATATGACCTCCGTTATATCTGTGAGAATCAATCACATTTATTTATAATGCCCTTTTTACATCAGCAGTGTGAGTGAAAGTAGTAGATGTCTAATTAACATGAACAGTCTTGATAATGGCAGATATTGGTAGGTGTTATTTTGAACTCTTATTTTGTCTCTTCTTGTGTAATGTGTAGCTGGCGAGGCCATTTAATATGGTGCCCAACATCCCTGGGATTCCAGGCCCTCCGATTGGTGGGACCAGCAGCAGCTCCTCCTCCCCATCTGGGTATAGTCTACACTCAGAGGCCAAGATGGTGAGAGGCGCATGCACTGGCGGACACACACACACACACACACACACACACACAAACACACACTACACACCACACACCACACACACACTACACACCACACACGAGTTAAGGACCAAATAGCAGTGGGCCTATCCATACCCCTGGCATTGTGGCAGTGGAAGGCACAGGGTTGCAAAGGGAGGCAATGTTACTGGTAACTGTTAATTACCTAAATTACTTGTAGTTTTGCAACCCTAGGAAGGCATGTTGTTGACATCTGTATGGCATTTCTGTGTGTCCCCCTCCCTCTCTGTAGAGGCTGAAGGCAGCGCTGACCCAGCAGCAGCAACAGCATGGCCCAGGGGCTCAGAACGGGGCTGGAGGGGGCCCAGGGGGGGCGGGAGGGGGTCCAGGGTCCAGCCCCGCTGTCCCCCAGAGACATGAGCAGAGCCAGCAGCCCTCGCAGCATTCTGACACCCCCTCACCTGCACAGCCACAGGTAAAACACATACATACTGATACAATACCTAAGGGTCAGGTGGAATCTGCTAGAGGCAGGACGGCCTTAACCTCCTGAAATGATACAAATACTGGAAAGAACACTGAACAAACCAAAAGCTGCTACAAAACATGTTTTGTAGATTACATATGCTGGCAACTCTGTAAAGGTATTGATAAGAGAGAACTTCTCTGCAGATTCCGTCTGGCCCTATATATTTGGTAATGCATTATCTCACGTCGATTGCATGTATTTGCGTACATTTTGTGCACAAACAGTGAGTACAAAAATGCACAGGCACACTCTCATGCATATATGATTTACATATACTCACACAGCAAACCAGCAGTGGCTCCTCCTCTCCATTTGGGTATAGTCTACATTCAGAGGACATGATGGTGAGAGGCGTATACACGGGCACACTTTGAAATACACATTCAAATGCACTTTTACACTCACACACACAAGCTCACACTTGTGCACTCTTGCATTCTCTCTCTCTCTCTCTCTCGTGCTCTCGCTCTCTCTCTCTCATATACACACACTCATGCACACACACCCAGTCCAGAGTGTATAACACCCTCCCCATCCTCGCCAGGTGTCCCCGGCCCAGCCCACCGGGGGTAGGAGGCGGCGGGGTGCGGAGGCCGACCCAGACGAGAGAAGGCAGCGCTTCCTGGAGAGGAACAGGGCGGCGGCGTCTCGCTGCCGACAAAAGCGCAAGGTTTGGGTTGGCTCTCTGGAGAGGAAGGCAGAGGACCTGGCTACCATGAACGTCTCTTTGACCGTGAGTCTACCGCACTACGACCGTAACTGGACCTAGACTGTAACTCTCTATTACAGTCAGTTACAATAGACCATAACTGGACTCAGCAGAGAAAGGAAAAGGCAATGAGAAAGGCAATATGTCACTTTTTGGGCGACCCGACCAAATTCACATACAAGAAGCGGTAGATCTGTTCTATGTGAGTTATTTCTATGCTTCCCATTCTTACATTTCATTTTTGCATCTTTCGGTTTTGTACACCAACTTCAAACAGCTGAAAATACAATATTTTTGGTTATGGAAAATATATTTCACAGTGGTTTAGATGGTACAATGATTCTCTAGACTATACTTGCTTGTTTTGTCACAAACTGAAATTAGGCGAACTATTAGAATTTTAGCAACCAGGAAATGGCGGAGTGATTTCTGCATAGTGCGTCTTTAAAACCATGAACCCGTCTGTGATTGTATTATACTGGTATGAGCCCTAATATGATTCTCGTGCCCATGGGGTTTTGGTGTATGATTGTCAGTGGTTGAGAAGACAATAAATGTTGTGTGTACATTGTCTTGTGTGTTCATGCCTATATGTGATGTGTTCTGTTTCTATCAGAATGAAGTGGGTCTGCTGAGGAATGAGGTGACACAACTGAAACAGCTGCTACTGGCCCACAAAGACTGCCCTGTCACTGCCATGCAGAAGGCGGCTTCCTACTTAGGTAATTAAGACAAAACATACTTTTGGTCATGTAGTGTATGTGGACACCTGCTCGTTCTCATTCCAAAATCAATGGCATTAATATGGAGTTGGTCCCCCCCTTTGCTGCTATAACAGCCTCCACTCTTCTGAGAAGGCTTTCCACTAGATGTTGGAATAGTGCTGCGGGGACTTCCATTCAGCCACAAGAGCATTAGTGAGGTCAGGCACTGATGTGGTGCGATTAGGCCTGGCTTGCAGTCGGCGTTCCAATTAATCCCAAAGGTGTTCGATGGGGTTGAGGTCAGGGCTTTGTGCAGGCCAGTGAAGTTCTTCCATACCGATCTCGACAAACCATTTCTGTATGGACCTCGCTTTGTGGACTTGGGGCATTGTCATGCTGAAACAGGAAAGGGCCTTCCCCAAACTGTTGCTACAAAGTTGGAAGCACAGAATCGTCTAGAATGTCATTGTATGCTGTAGCGTTAAGATTTCCCGTCACTGGAACTAAGGGGCCTAGCCCAAACCATGAAAAACAGCCCCAGACCATTATTCCTCCTCCTCCAAACTTTACTGTTGGCACTATGCATTGGGGCAGATAGCATTCTCCTGTCATCCGCCAAACCCAGATTAGTCCGTCGGACTGCCAGATGGTGAAGCGTGATTAATCACTCCAGAGAAGTTGTTTCCACTGCTCCAGAGTCCAATGGCAGCGAGCTTTACACCACTAGCTGACGCTTGGCATTGCGCATGGAGATCTTAGGCTTGTGTGCGACTGCTCGGCCATGGAAACCCTTTTCATGAAGCTCCCGATGAACAGTTCTTGTGCTGACGTTGCTTCCAGAGGCAGTTTGGAACTTGGTAGTGAGTGTTGCAAACGAGGACTGATGGTTTTTACGCACTACGCGCTTCAGCACTCGGCGGTCCCGTTATGTGAGTTTGTGTGGCCTACGCATGGTGATCTTAGGCCTGCTCGGCCATGGAAACTGACTTGTTGGAAAGGTGGCATTCTATGACGGCGCCACGTTGAAAGTCACTGAGCTCTTCAGTAAGGCCTTTCTACTACCAATGTTTGTCTATGGAGATTGCATGGCGGTGTGCTTGATTTTATACACCTGTCAGCAACGTGTGTGGCTTAAATAGCCGAATCCACTAATTTGAAGGGGTGTCCACATACTTTTGTGTATATATAGTATACACAAATCAACTATCAATCACACAAGTCTGTCATTCACTCCATCTGTTAGATTTTTTATTTAGGCTCATTTATCTGTCCCCCATCAACTTTTGCATCCATCCACCCACCTACCGATCAATCTATCCAGGATCAAACTCCAACTCATCCATCTAACCTATTGCTTGCCTGTCACCTCTCTTTAAGGGTGAATGTTTCTCTCTCTGTCTGTAGCTGCAGGAGGAGAGGAGAGCTCCAGGGATCCCCCCTCCGAGCCTACGGGGTCCACAGCCCCGGTCATCCAGCACGGGCCTTTGGCCCCTGTCCCCAGCCCTGGTGCCATCACCGTCAACGGGCTGAGTGTATGCGCGGCTGAGGCAGTGGCCATGTCAGTCCTGGCCGGGATGGGGGCGGCCCACCAGGGAGGGGTCCTCATGGCCACACAGCCTCAGCCAGCCCCCAGATGATGTGCAGGGAGCCAATAAGAACTTTAGGATGCTGGACTGGTACAATTATGTGAGAGATTGAAAGAGAGAAAGGGACCTGATTTGAAATCTGAAATCCCACCAGTTGTTGATAGAAGGGGAGGTGGGGGTGAGAAGTACTATCTCCAACCTATGCTCTGTGACCTTGGATACAGTGGCAGCCAGGAAAGGATGTTGGGAGTTGACATCCTGTCAAAGCCACAACCCCCCCCCCCAGACACACACACACACACACACACACTCTCTCTCCCAGCCAAAGATAATCACTGAACATACCGAGTTATCCCGCCACTTTTGCCCTTTTTCTGACGGATCCCTGCTTGGAAGCACTGTCACTGCATATATACAAGCGTATGTACATACTCACACCTCGTGACATACACACACACCCACTCGATCACCGAATGTAGTGTGTTTTTGTTTTTGTCTATTTGCAACTCTCTCTGCTGTCTACAGTGTAAATCTCTCCTTACATATCTATCTTCTTCATGCAGCTGTTAATCCATGGGAAACTATTTTAGGGTTGAATAAGCGTGAGATATTGTTTTCCCTTTGTCATGGAGTGAGCCAAAGTATGAATACATTCATTGTCTGGCCTTTTAAAAACAATTTTTTAAATCTTTTTTATAGGAATTATGCATTCTGACAATGTGTATGAAACCCTTATTGACTGCATGGATATTAGAGGATACTGATGAAGACCACTGTCTGTGTGCTGGTGTCTGCTCATATTGCTTGTTTTATCATACTGCTTTTCTCTCCCACTTTTTAAAGTGATATCAAATGACTGATGCAAACAATGATAATGTCCTAATGTAACACTTGAAATGGTTAGGTTTTAGATTATACTTTATGTAGTAATCAACAAACTCTTCATTAGATTTATACATAATTTACCCAGGCTAAGTTGAAAAAAAGTAGTGCAATATATTTTTATATTCAATACAAATATTAATGTTTAGCTAAAACGTGTAGTGACAGTGGTAGAACCGTTTGTTCTAATTCAATGAAAACAAATTACATTCTAAATGATCAAGGAAATATAAACCTACGACATATTCTTGAATGCAAATCTCGATTAGGGGACGTCTATATGGAGTTATAGATCATGTCCTAGTCTCAGGTGCTTTGCGCCATTTGAAAAACTATACTGTCTATTGGAGTATATCACTTTTGTAAGACACTTCATTTAAATATTTGTTATGAAATGTCATTGAGTGATGTGTCCTTTTCTTTTTTTACCACCTCATGTTGTGTTGAGGAAAACCATAGTGTTTGTTGCCTCATCTTTTTTGAACATATCAATGTTCTGTTTGTCATTTTGTTGTTGTTGCTGTAACTTCTCCACACTGCGTCATGTTACCAGTCCCCTCGTGTTCTGTCAAGAGGATGGGTATGTCTGTCTTCAACAGTGAACCCAGAGTGTAACCTCCCAAACTATTATGGAATTTGATTGTCTCCAATGCGTCGAGAGGGCGTTTTTTCCCAAAATAATTCCACCTCAAGGCGGGTGAAATGAACTTGTGTATAGTCTCAACTAATAAACTGTCTCTGGCAAAATAAATAAGTTAATGGCAACAATGGTTTTAGGTTAATCTTTTTCATGCTGAGTATCTCTAAGTGCCTATCCCCTTGGTATAGAGCTCTATGACAGGAGGAGCAGAAGCTGTCTGATGCAGTACTGGCTCAGGGTGCTCAGCCACAGGGGCAGACAGCTCTCCAACTCCAGAGGAGGAATAAGGATGGACTGGTGGTATGAGTGTGCACAACAAGCACAGGAAACAAGAGAAGGGGAGAATCCTAACTTCCACTAAATCGATTTTTCACTTGAGTCTCCCATTGACATGAATGTATGACTAAGTGAAAATTTGACTTCTGTGGAAGTTAGAATTTGCCTCTAAAATGTTGTTCCAGCCATAATTTGTGTGATGTTAGGATGTTCATCTTGTCATGAAATTGCAATAGTTGACTGACTAAAATCATGGACCATAGTTTCATAATCAGTAGCCCTGTCTGTGTTCAGTCAGTGGTGTGCGAAATGCTCTTAAACATTGTTGCCATACAGCAGGGTTCCACAACTGGCGTCCCGCGGGCCGGATTTGGCCCGTGGGTGGATTTATTTGGGCCCCAAAGTTTTCTGAGCAAAGAAACATTAAAAAAAACGTTTTTTGATAAATGTTTTCCTAAGTATTGCCACGCATAATAGAGAGACACGTAATCGTATACAAATGTAAGCAAGGTTTGAAATTATTGTTTTAGTCAAACATATCTGTTTGGGCTTCTTGCGGTCAATTTGCAGTCAACAAATTATTTGTAATATGTTCCGGCCCCCCCACCAACCGCTCAAGAAAATGTAGTTGATGATCCCGGCCATACAGTAACGCCAGGGGGAGCAAACAGTCTATTGATCTCATGCTCCAGTCACAACCATTAACATCATACATGGTCATGTGACAGATTCCTTTGGTGAGTTGTTCATCGCTTACGGTTATGGCGGTGTCAGGGAGTCGAAAGGATGGAGTACAATCTTGATTTCTGCTTTTCTCGTTGACTCAGGAACTTGTCACCACTTTTAATTTCTTTACATTCTACAACGTTTTATTCCTGCAACGATGGCGGACGGAGGCGTGGATATGTCGGCACTACCGAAAGAGGTCAGGGACCAATTGGCGGAGTTGGATTTGGAACTGTCCGAAGGTAAGGATTTTAACAGGGAAAAGGGAAAGAGAAAAAGGTGTTGTGTCCGTAAACGCTCCTATGACCCAGATAAAAACAATAACAATCACACGTACGGTGTCAGTGGTAAGAACTGCAGTCTATAACCGGGCTGGCACGACTCGGCTCGCGCTGCTATGTTGCTCCGGAGGATAAAAACACTGACCTATTTTATTGTCATTTGATTAGCTAATTAATGTAACCAAAATACTGTCGTTATTATTTTCGCCTGCAATGGCATAGTGTTGTTGAGTAATGAGAATATAGAGAGATGGCTATTTTATTGCATGAGGCTTTTGATATGGCTATGTATTAACTATATGATACCATAGTTTATGACTGGATGTTTTTTAATAGTTTTTTTTGTTTATTTATACTTTACATTATACTTACCATCAGAAGTAACCATAGCTCTCAACATTAACACACTCTTCCAATTTGCTTTGCAGGGTCAGTGCATTTTTCTCTAGTAACTAGGATATTAATTGCCTTCATGTCATTTGCTGTATCAAAAAGGAGACCATACAGGTTTTCCTCCCGTCATAGAAATTAGGTCAAGGCTCTCTTCCTCATCACATAGTAATTGTGTCTGTTTCTAAAGTGATAGTGTTGCTGAAATGATGCTGCTCTTTCCATAGGCCTACATCAAGGCAGTAGACTGCTAAGCTCTCTTGTTAATGTGGGAATGCAGCTTTTGCCTTGTTTTGACAAATGGCAGTGCTAAAAAGAAAAAGAAATAATATGGTGTTATGCAAGTCTCCTCCTTGGTGGGTGAATCACAGTATTGCTGGATCTGTGCCATGTGGTTCAAAGCGCCCAGGGGTGCATGAGTAATGTTATGTTTCAGCTTTGGAGAGGAAGGAGAGAGAATGTATGTATGGAAGAGTAGAGTCACCATTGGTGACTGACCGACTGAAGTCAATTCTCTCCCTGACTCTCCTCCCCTCTCTCCCCACTGTGTGAACATTGAATAATAGTACAGTTTCACACTGTGCCTTTTGAGCTCTTCTCAGTTTACCGCTGAAGCTCATGGCTCCATGGAGACATCCTGGACTCCAACTATCCAGGTCTCAGCCAGATACAGTTGGATGAAACTGCCGATCAGTGAAGAAGACCCTGTGTGGAGAAAAGTTTTCAAGGTCATTTTCCAAGGCCTCGATACTATTCCGCCACCGCCAGACCTTTGGTTGTGGGCCCTGGCACTTTTTCCATCAAATCTGCTGAATATAATTTCAAAATTTGTTTTATTTGAGACAAAAAAAAATGACCACCTGTAATAATAATTGCTTTCTGAAATGTCTCAAAGTAAGGCTATTAGGCTAACAAGAGAATCATAGTAGAATCAAACAGCCTGAGCACATCATCAAACACAGCCACCCTGGGATACAGCCACAGAGATGGCCTCTCAGTGGTTACAAACTAATCAAAACAACTCCCTCAAAACAACATGGTCTCAGAGCATTTCGTATTATTCTGTATGTAAATCCGAGACACTCCATTTAGTATGATATGTTACGGTTCGTATGGTATGTATTCATTTGTGGATGTCCATCATCCATTTTGTATGATATGTTGTGGTCCTCTGTAGCTCAGCTGGTAGAGCACGGCGCTTGTAATGCCAGGGTAGTGGGTTCGATCCCCGGGACCACCCATACACAAAAATGTATGCACGCATGACTGTAAGTCACTTTGGATAAAAGCGTCTGCTAAGTGGCATATTATTATTATATTATTATGTTACGAATTGCAACTCTTATAATATGTTACGAATTCCAATTTGTTGTGGCCAAAGTTAGCTAGGTAGCTAACACTAACATTAGCTAGCGCTAGGGGTTAGGGTTAAGGGTTAAGATTAGGGTTAGGGGAAGGGTTAGCTAACATGCTAAGTAGTTGCAAAGTGGCTAAAAAGTAGTTGCTAATTATCTAAAATGCTAAAGTTGTTCGTGATGAGATTCGAACACGCAACCTTTAGGTTGCTAGACGTTCATGTTATACGCCAACCCATCCACCCCGACCAACCACCCTCCTTTCGTTTTTGGCTTTAAGTAACCTATCTTATGTAACCATACCAAACGTAACATATCATACTAATTTGAGTTTCCCGGATTTACATTTACTGTTTTATGTCTAGCTCCCGAGTGGCGCAGTGGTCTAAGGCACTGCATCGCAGTGCTAGCTGTGCCACTAGAGATCCTTGTTCGAATCCAGGCTCTGTCGTAGCCGGCCGTGACCGGGAGACCCATGGGGCGGCGCACAATTGGCCCAGCGTCGTCCAGGGTAGGGGAGGGAATGGCCGGCAGGGATGTGGGTTTGTTTCCCATGGGGGGCCAGTATGAAAAAAATAAAAAATAAATAATGTATGCACTCACTAACTGTAAGTCGCTCTGGATAAGAGCGTCTGCTAAATGACTAAAAATGTAAAAAATGTAAAATGTAGCTGTTACTGAGACCAGTCTGCTCAAAAAGAAGTGTGAAATC